AAGGACCCACCGCGAGGTACCAGAGAGGGTATCCCTCGACCCCATGCAATGGCGAGGTTCGAAGGACGAGAGAACATGAGCCGTACATACCGCGACAAGTTTTCAGAGGACCCATTACAATCCTGACCCGGAAGAACACTTCCATTAGCAAACGACTGAGGAGTGATCATTAACGAAGCCTTGAATAGTTCTGTCTTTCCCGCGGGACGAAGGCCGGGCTACGTCTTAAGGTTAGGTGGTTCGGTACTGGAAAGAAGGGCCGGTGTGAGGTGCCCCACAATGGACTGCTTGGCTTGACGCAGATAGCCCCTCAAGGGACTTCCAGTGGTCTTAAAGGCCGGATGGGGTGACGCAGACAATTTGCACACTCCCTTGGTGCGGAGGAGTGCCTCGACACAAGAAAGAAATACCCCGTATCGGAACGTCCGGCGAGGCAATGGAGCCGGCGATTATAAAACTGAGCTTGCGGGTGCTCTTGCTCCGCCGTGACGCTGTTTTGCACTTAGGCTCGCCTTTGTAGTACCCGTCGCCCGAACCCAGAACCGGCGAAGGAGAGTAATGGAGAACGGAGGATTGCCAAAAAAAATCGCGTAGGTCCAGCTCTCCCGAGCGCCTTCGATCAGGGCTTGAAGACGCTGTTGAAGGTGAAGGCTCTCTTGATTGAAATAAATAAAAAGGATTGAGATCGCACGAGGACCTAAATGAGAATAGGGAAGAGCGTAGCACGAGGAAGGCTTGGGCACAAATGGTACTTAAAGAGTGAGAAACAGGTGCTAAAAATCACCACTATCATTATATTGATTTATTCATTTTACTTGTTAGCATGTGCTCAAAGTTTCAAACCGTGAGGAAGCTAGTGCTGGCCAAAGTGGATCTCGAGCAGTAGCCTTGAAATAGCACTCGAGCTAGAGAGGACCCCCGAAGCATTGCTCAAGCATTAAAGGAAGATATATATATGTTCATCAATATAATATATAATCCCACTTTAGCATAGAATAGGGAATAGAGTCTCCACACTTGATAATAAAAAGAAGTGACAAGACATAAGGATGTGATAACCTATGTTACCTGGACTCGGGTGCGGGTGTCGGACACGGGTGCGTGTCCAGAGGTCGGATCCATCCATCTATCAAATTATAGGACACGAGGACACGGAATAAAAGTGTCCAAAAGTTGGACACGGACACTTGGACATTTGTAGGAAAAGAAAAAAATGTACACTTTTTTATGTTAGACCTCAGTTTTTTTAATGAAAAATTGAATAAATATACAAATGTAAAGATAGCAGCGTGGAGCCTTCCAAGCTCTATTTTTTTGTGATGCAGGTTTTCTTTTTTTGCTCTGTTGTTGCACTTGTAACTGTTCTTACAGTTGTGGATGCAACTGCAATGTGCTCCTATGTGGGCCTGTTTTAGTTTTATTTTTCTGGGCTGCCTTTGGGCTATGGGCTATGCCTTTCCTTGTACAGTTTCTTTTTTTTAATGAATGGATTTACTGTAAAAAAAAAAAAAAAAAAAAAAAAAAAAAGGTAATACAACTATTATAATAATATTACCTTATTTATAAAGTCAAACTGTTAAGTCAAAAAAATTGCTCAAGATTGACCGATAGATATTACTTAAATAAAATAATACAGCTGTCCCAGTACAGTTGTAAATTGTTCATAGCTTAGATAGTGTTTTACAGCTGTAAAACATTATCCTTGTTAAAAGACCAAACTCTCCCATATTTTTACATCCAAATTGACAAGTGGCATGATCGTGACCGTTGAAGGGTATTAAAAGCATTAGTAAGAATGTGAAAACACGCTCGGTCGTTACAAAATTTTGTGCAAACAAAGCGCGTACATTTCAGTCTTCTCTAACCTTCGAAAGACGCTACTTTTGAAGCAAACCGCCATTGTTGTACCAGTAAGTTTTCTGATCTCATTAATGGCAACCTATTTAACAAATAAAGCATGAAGAAAGTTCGCAATCCTTCACAAGTACCAACCCAAACATCTTTGTTTGAGTTTTCGTCATCTATCAGCCGTGTCCGGTAGACGCCATGAAGGATCCGACTCAGATCCAATGTCCGTGTCCGTGTCGTGTCGTGTCGACACAGACACTTCGGCCTGAACAGGCGAGTCTATGTAACACAGGTGATAACTCATCAATAATAAATGGTTGACAAATACGGACAATGCCATAGGAACAGTGAGGAGAAAGAAGATTTGATAGAAAAATGACATAAGAAAAATTTAGTTTTCTTGTTGGTGTAGGACTATACTCTGATTCCTTAGTAAACACAAGTGACATTGCATGTCATATAGAAACCAGTCCACCCTTATATATACATGTGTGCAGTGTGCACATATATATATATATATATATATATATAATATTAAATTCAGCCCAGGAAGCAATTTAGTATTAACAATGCAGCAAGAATTGAAAAAGCTCAAATTAAAAACAAGTTTATTTTTTTATTATCATTATTTTTTTTTAAAACAAGCAAGTCACTTGCGAAAAATAGTAAAGGAAAAAAAAGTTGTTCATTAACCAGGCAAGGCTATGGAACAATAAACTAATAAAATACTATTTTTATGAACTTGATGGGACTTTGCAATTAAAGTAGAGAAAAAGGTAAGTTTTACAGGAAAGGACCACCAAACATGTACAACATAAAAAGCATAGTTGCATGGCCGAGAACACAGGATCTAAAACTCCATAACCCATGGTGTTTAGTCAACCTTTTCAACACAAAGACAAAATAATATAATAAACTAAACAAAGGGAACATAGAAAGTTGTGTAGCCAGAGGTAAATAAATAAATATAATTAAAATAAACATATAATAAATTTATCCAGATTTTTCAGAAAGGAAAAGTCATATCTGATTGATGCTAAGGTTGGGGTCCATAGTCCATATTCTTTATGTGAAAAAGTTAATGGTAAACCTTTGTTTATTATCATTACAGGTGAAGCGAGTTTGATGAATTAGGATCTTCAAACATCCGAGGCACCACGATCACAACAAAACTTGGTTATGTCGAGGACTGTAACAACATTTTTTTTTTTAACTGGCACACATGAGACTCACAAGGAATCAATCAGAAATAAGGAAGAAGAAGAAAATGAGTTTTCAGGTAGACAGAGGAGTATAAGATTCATGGCATGCATATCATACTGTTGAATGTAAATGACAAAACATGGTGTATCAGTATAGATGAAATAAAAATTTAAAAACGAGCTTGTCAGTTTGAAACTAGAGCAAGCAACAAGAAAACGAGTTAGGAGCGAAATCACCAGTCATAAAAGACTTCTTCCATATCCATAAAGGGCCAATCTCTTGCAAGCTCGACATTTATGGAATGCTCCTCCTCAGCAGAGTCGCCAAAATGTTGATGGTAGTTCGTGAGTAGGATGAAGAGATCATTCCACATCTGTCGGAGATGCTGAGATTAGAGGCTGAGTAAAGCTCCAAACTAGCACAAGGGATTCTCCATAAAGGAGATTAAGAGAGAAAAGGCAGATTTGCTTAACACCCATGGTGGCGCAAGTCCTAGGAGACCATTACTTATGGTTATAGTTAGGGTGGTGTATATGTATTTTCAGCCCCCTTAAATGGTGAGAGTTAAGCCCTATTTATACTACTTCATTTGGGTAAGGACCGTTGGTCATGAGAGCTAACTTCCCCTTTATCCAATGGTCGCTTTGCCTAGGTAAGGACCCTTGGTTATGAGAGCTAACTTCCTCTTTATCCAATGGTCGCTTTACCTAGTTAAGGACCCTTGGCCATGATGGTAGCTCTTTCTTTATCCAATAGTAATTCTGTGAGATATACATTTAGAGTATTATGTGGTCTATTACTTGAGCTCAGCTATTGGGTGTTAAACATTCTCTCCCCCTTGTGTAGACCTCGAAGTGAGGCGATTCCTTGGAACTTAGCCACTTAACCACTGATACTCAGATTCCCGCAACTGAAGATAGGGAAAGAGCCTTCCTCGGGGTTCTGCCTTCTCGGTCGGTCGGCCCCGCAGGCTCTATCCTAGTTCTGTGTCTCGAGGTCCTTACAGTTAAAGGGAGCTCGAGAGAAAAATGCCCGAGGTTACGCCTGCAGGAAGCAACCTCGGAAAAGAGGGGAGGAGGGGCCCATCCGACTGGAGCGGGGCGCGTCCACAGAAGAGGAAGGGTAGCGACCCCTTCCTTGACCAGTGAGTTCAGTTATAGGACGAGTAGCTCGAGAATACTGTCCTTTCAGGAGCACGCCAGATAAGTACTGGCCAGGTGTTCTTATTTTCATAAATGGTGCCACTCAAGCAGACGTCACGGCACGTATATCAACAACTACTTAAAGCCTTCACCGGCTATTGCTAATTGGCACCTTCAAATAGCAATTGGCTTGAAAGGGGAAAAAGGACGAGACCCTTTAGCCATATACTCCCATTGAAGAGTAAATGGGTAGGAATATATGATGCATTTTACTTCCCCGTTATATTCTCACAAGAGATGAATAGAGATGAGGAGAAGTAAGGGTACGGAGTGTATTAAACTTTATATATAAAAAATTCCATCAGCTCCAGGAAATTGGAACAAAATCATAAAACAAACATACAAAATTGCTACCCTTCTTGTGGTGATCTGCTATGGGAATATGAAGCGCCAACTCTATTAGACGTTACACATTTCACCGAGTAGCATCAAACTCTATACAGAACATAAGGCTTCATGATTCACAACTTCTGGTTTTGAAGCAGTAAAGGATATTTTCATTAAGCTTGAGGGACATTCAAGAAGCTACCAAACTTAATACACAACCCACAACACAAATAAATTTGTAAAACATACTGTGAACACCTAAAGAACTAAGATAAATTATGAAATCAAGTAGCTAATGCTATAAAAAAGACATATTTGATCATCAATTATCATAATTAAGTAACTTGGTGAAACTAACATCAAATCTAGTACCGCACTTGAAATTCAAATAGCACATTTCTATTTAAGTTTAAATTAAACCTCCAACATAGTCCATAGCTGTTGTCTCAGGAACATCGCGAGCCTTTTGACTGATCACAACCGCAAGCTCCACCTCATGATCGAGCGATTCCCAGGGATGTGGAACCTCGATTTTCCCTCCATTTCCCAAGTACGACGACGTTGGCTTCAGAAACAACACTGGTTCCTGCCAAAAAAAAAAAAAAAGAATTTAACATATGCGTCGTAAAAAAGTCAATTACACATTATACTCTGACTAATGAGAGTATATGGATCTTGATCACGGTAACGATCTAAAAAAAAAAGCATAAATTTTCAATTTTGCATTTGTGAGCTGTGATCTAAGAATTAACGATGTCTAGGTTAAATTCTAGACCTAAGAAAGAGATTCAGACCTTGGGGACGGCGTTGCCAAGTTCTTTGGCGTGAGCGGCGTAGTTTCGGCCGACGGCTACGATCTTAGTACCAACGCTCAAAAGCTTCTGATATGCAGATGATGCGGTCGCCATCGTCTTCCAACAATACTAGTCTACAATCCCACTCCTTTATTTGTTTGTAGCATACACTCACATTAGTGAAGTTGGTGATGCAGATTCATATATCTATAGGCTCAATTGTATATATATAATCGTACATAATTTTTACATCTATATGTGCCATATACATCTATATGTGTGTTCCAATGGCAACCGGCTAGCTAAGGAGGGTCTCTGACTTGTACACAGTCAAAGATCGAAATTTTTTTTTTATAGGACATATATATATATATATATATATAAAGAAGTTTTCTTAATTTTATTGGTACGAGTCTCTTACTTTTTAAAAAAAGTCAGAGTTTAAGTCTCAGAAACAAGTGTGTATGAGTAATTAAGAAATAAAAACTATTGGTATTTGTCTCTATTAAATTATATTCCTAATTTTATTTTTATTCTTTTGTATAAATAGTCTTAATTTTTATTGACTAGCTTAAATTTACATTTGCTTATAAGTTATAATAGTAGTAGAAAATAGAATCTTCTTAGTCCTTATTTGAAGAAAAATAATATGCAAGTGAAATTGATTTGTATTATATTGAATAATATATAGTTTGGAAAGAGCAATGATATAAATTTTGTTCAGTATAATATACTAGTATAAATCTATGGTGTGTTACGGATAATAGGGTGAGAGAGGATGTAATTAAATAGTTTGGGCTAGATGTTCCTTTAATTACAAATAGATATAATCATATTTCTTCCAGCATTTTCAGATAACTACCATCTCAAAATTGGGAACATTTTCCTATTTGAGCTTGGTACAGCCTTCCAACTTTTGGGATATGTTGTAAACAAATCACCTACAACATGTAATACGGGATTGTCTCTTCTCAATCACAATCACTGGATCATGTTAGTTCCACGTTGAATTCATTCCTGATTATATAACAAGCATGATCATTTTTTCGAAAGTTTATTTTCTCAGTAATAAATATATCAATAAACAGTATTTCCTGTCTTTCAAAAAAAAAAAAAAAAAACCACATGAAATAGCAGTGAAACTATTCGTCTTTAAACAATAATTTGTTTGGAAATTGCTTCATCTCACCCATTCCCAGGACCAAGTGGTACGAGACTTGGTGAAGGAGAACCCTGAAGTTGCCCACTTGAAGATTGAGAGGAATGATGTGTAGCTTTGCTAGATTCTCCATGTCTAGATAGACGCCGTGACCTGAAGGTTAATTTGCACCCAAAAAATAAATAAATAAATTAGGGAAATTATTTTCCCACAAATAGATAACAAATAAAACTGAAGAAAGTAGTTTTTGTCAGCAAAATTACTTTCCAACATTTCCCTTTTTTAAAGGTACTGGGAAGCCATAAAAAATCAGAAAATTGCATTTATATATCCATGGTACCTATATTAATTTCGTTTTGTTACATCCAATTTCAAATTTAGACTAGTTCACAAAACATAAAAATAGTCATCTTGTGATTCGATGGATCGTTTAGACTTTTTTTGTAGTATTAGTTCGGGTGATGACTACATTTCCTTTTCCTATTACATTCTGCAAGATGAAACCTTATTTCCAAATGCAATAGATTACAAATGAATATTTCTAAATAATACTTGCAAAAACTAATTATAATTTACATAGAAGTTAGGGCAAGTAGGTGTCCATAAATAACATTTGTCCTGCTAGAGAGCCTAAATATCAGTATAATTATAAGGTATTTTAGACACAATCGAAAGAATGCCTGTCTTTCAATTCCACTCTCTAGAAGCATAGTTTTGTTTAATTTCACAACTGATTGCAATATTGCAAACATTTGAAATAGTTACCGCTGTCGGAAGTTGGAAGGCTGATTGCTAAGCAACACGGGGCTCGAGTAACATTCGTTGAAGTGGGTTGCATTCTCAGATAGATTTATACTTGTCTGCATACAATAAGTAAAAAAGCAATAACAAGTCAGTGCAAGCATTAATCATCAAATAATCTTACTTTCGTGAGAGTCTTTCCTGATTATTAAGCTAAAAGGTTCTTGATTACAAGGCAAGTAATATAATGAAATCACATAGTGGTTTATGCAAGAATGAGGATTTAAAGCAGCAGCAGAGAGAACAGTAGTAGTGTTTGTATAGCTGTGAGTTTTTAAGGCAAACTCACAGTTTGTTTACGTGAACTTTTATGAGTTCTGGAGAGCTCAATGTCCTGGGCATCACGGCTCCTTTTTTCAGTGGCCAGAACAGTTGCACATTTGCATGTGAAATATAGAAGTAGAATACCAATACAGAACACCGTAATAGATTCAATCACGATTCCGGATCCTAGCGCTGTACCAAAGAAGCAAGATGTAGGTTGAATAATACTATACAGCTATGTGAATAATTCTCTACTTCTATAGTAATGATAAATCTCACAAACATACATATGAAAGCAACATTATTCACCATCCATCATATTATTGGGAATCAAAATTGCTTATGGTAGAACCAGGAGGTCCGGGACCAGTGTCTATGAACCATGAATGTTGGGTGGTGACATTTTGTAAAGTATTAAAGACTTCACTTCATTAGTAGGAATTTAAAGGGAGTTTTAAGAGGTTCCCAAGCTATTAATTTTTTTTGAATGTTAAATCTAAATCAGACTTTTAGAGAACTGGCATTTCCTTTACCACAAAATGAGAAATTTCGAAATTCAGAAACAGACAATTTTCATTCAAGATTTTGGATGGATAGGGAGCTTTGTGAAAATAAATAATGCCGTTGGAGGATTTGTGGATACTCCGGTACTTCAACAAGTGAAACAATATAGACAAGCTCAGCCAGGATTTTGAAAGAGATATTTAACATCTACCAAACTAGAACAAATTTAAAAGAGAAAGAATGAGAGGACCAATGAAGACAAAAGTGCTCTGCAGATATTTACGAATCAAAAGTGTAAAAACTGCAACTTACTATGAGCTTCCAATGAACTCATAGGTCTTCTTCTTATAAGGTTTACAGTGGCATCAGCAAAAAGAGGCATTGACATATTTTCTGAACAATCTGGAAAGCATCCATAGTTTCCCATATCATTTATTCTCACTGTTAAAACAGCACCATGTTCGTCACCCTGTACACAAAAACACAATAAATTCCACAAGGCCATTATTGACAGATTATTTAGCTGTCAATACTGTGATTTTAGAATACTTAACCAAGTTATATTGCAAGAACAAAGCTGATTGAGAAAAGATCCATAATCTTATGATGTTTTCTATTTAATTAAACTTTCCAATAGCTCATAAAGAAATAGGACCTCATTACAATTCTATAAACACACCACTAATCCTCGGATGGTGCATAATAGGCTTTGCTATAATGTTCCATTTGAAATATTAATTTCATACATTTTTTGGAAGTCTGTATCTTAATAAGCAAAAGAACATCTTCATCCCTTTACAACTTCTACCCCAAATCAAAAGTGAACTTAATCAATTTTTACTATCAAGAAGGTTAGGCCACACAAGCTCCACACATAGGCTTAAACAATTGCATGGCATCTGTATGGTGGACCTAAATTCCTTAGTATGTTAGATTTTTTATGAAACTTAGTGGATTAGGGAAGCAAATTCTAAATTATCATGGAGTTTTGAACAAATCTGGGAATATTTTAGATGTTTTGTAGAATCATTCCAGAGAGATGATTTAGGTTATTGATTATATGTAATCTCGGTCAATCATTTGCTAGCTAGATGCCTATAAATAACAACCAAGTTTGCAGTTCTAAGATCCTTATGAGTTGTAATAATAGTGCTTTCTCTCGTGCCAACAAATGTTGTGCTAGCTAACCAAGTGACATTAAGCCTCAAAGGTCTTCAGTGAGTTGAAAAAAGAAAAAAAAAAAGTAAATTCCCATATGTAAGAATGATTGTCAAAGTAATGTAAACACTAAGATTTAACAATCTTTAGCCTTCTCGAAAAAATATTTTCCATCTACTACACATGTCACTTCCGGATAAATTATTTAGATTGAAAGAGGATGAAAGGGAAAAGAAAGAAGTGAAATAAACATCATTCATGCTTGTTTACTCACATGATAAAATAATTGTTGCATAATACTGTTGCAGTGATTAACAGTTCCTCGGAATCTAATGCCTTTTGCTTTGACCATAAAATGTTTTGAGATGGTGACAAATGTCTGAATGGGCTGCCACTGAAAACTATTCTTTAACTTCAGTTCCGTTGTACTAATGAGCTCAGCCGGTAGATTGGTTGACAAAAATCCAGAATTAACTTCCATGGAAAATATGATCAAAAAGCGAGAATGATTGCCTGAAATAAAATCAACCAGCTGAACTTTAGACCCCTGAATCTCAAGTGTATAATGTTTTAAGAATCTGAAGTAAATAAGTCTATCACGGTTTAAAAATATCTCATTCTTATTTGACATCAATTTGGTAGAGATGCTCTATAGTTGAAAAGGAAGTCTTCTTGCATCCAGATTATCCTCATGGCAAAACAACAGTGAGGGAAATGAACCTCCCCCTTGGTTATTAATTTCCCACTAAGAGTACGGAAAGGACTTATGGTCCCAGTAACATGTAGTGTCCTAATATTTTGATTGTATTCTCCGCTTTCAAAAAGAATAAGCAAAAATATCTTGATCTTTCATCTGATTTTAGAAATACTAGGCAAAGTAATAAAAGCCTCCAACTTTAGTTGCTATGGAGACATATTTTTCCCAGGCACGAGAGACATATTTACATGGCCATCATGCAGACAACCCTTTAATGACTTTGTTTTTTTTCTGAATTTATTGACTCCTAAATTTTGTTATTGTGTATTAGCATATTGTAACATCCTTTTTTCTTACCATAAGTTAAAAATCTTCTTCTCCCAATATGCTAAGAAAATACCTGGAAAGTTGAGAAGATCTGGATCCCCAATGCAAAAATCAAACTTGTCTCTTTGCCTGTCAAAAATCAGTACTCCTTCTTCGTTGCTCTTCTTCTCCAAGATAACATATTCAGGGATGTTAATAAATGGAGGATCATTTATTGGTTCCACAAAAATTGGAACATTCAGATCATTTACTCCATTCTTGTTCATGGTAGAAACTTGGATCGTATCATCACCACTAAAGTTCTCAATTCTGATTAAAGCAAAAAAAAAAAAAAAAAGGTGTAACATACTTGCAGCATATTTATAAAAATTATGTGTGTGTGAACGGGGGGAGGTCATTGCACAATTTTAGAATTGGCAAAAAGTGGCAAACACATTATGGTACAAAAGGAAAGGATAATTGATGTAATTATGTAAAATTTGTTACTAGAGGTAATTGAGCCATCAAAGCCTTCATGAGATAACCTTCAAACAACATTTGTTTCAAAGAAGAATTAGTTCCCAGGAGTTGTTTAGCAATGCAGTTTATTTATAGAATATTTCATACCAAAATAATTCCTAGTTGAAGTTCCTTCAACAAATTCAGGATTGTAAATGGAAATTGAACTATTTACAATCTTTCTTCTTATAATTCATTAAGGAAAAAATATACTTAAGATTTACAGGAAAAAATATGGGCCTGCTTGGTTTGTACCTTTTTTCATAAAACTGTACAAAACTTCTGCTTAGTTCAGTTTTCTGAAAACCCAATTATAAAAGAGGCCTGTTTTCAGAAAACTACCTCTATAGTTCTCTGAATACAGTTTTCTGTTTTTTGAGTTTTTGAGAACTGTTTTCAGAGTTACAAACCAAGCGGGGCCTAAGCTTTCTTCTTATTCGTTTACTAAGGCCATTTTAAGGACATTAACTGAATCAGGCATGTGAATAACATCCTAGAGTGTAGAAGTCAGATAACTCTGTTTAAGACCAACAAAAAGGTGGAAAAGAAAAGAAAGAAAGAACATTCAATGAGTTTTACCCAAGGTATTGAATTGAATTAAGAGCAGAGTTGATTACTTCCAAACGGCCCTCTAAGACCAAATTTTTGGTCAAACCATCTCCACCATAAATGGAAAGTTCACTCCATATTGGCTGCCAGAACTGCATCATCATAGGGGAGAGAAAGACAGTGCCAGACCTTGCACTGAAAGTAACAGTAATGTTCTCCACCAATTCTGAATACATTATCTCAAAGCCAGTAAAACCACTGCAGAGAGAGAGAGAGAGGGAGAGTTATTGTGATCCAGAAACTAATATCCTGATTGACACCCAAAAAACCTTGGATTTCCTAGCTTTATAAAGAAGTTCAAGAATAAATAGTACCCTACCCAAATTTCGGACTTATTACATCTTCAGTTGCTTGCAATTGACTTGGAAAGGAAACAAACTGGGGCGGAATGCTAAGGACAGATATGTTTACAGCACCAGAAGCAAGATTGGAATTTACATCAGATATTGTATAGGTGAAAGAATCATTCCCAATAAATCCTTTATATGGTGTATATCTGAAGAGCCGGCCATACTGTAGGACTGAACCATGATCTGGCTGCCATGATATATCACAATAAGTTTACCAACGATCATCTTCTATTTAATATTTGAGTAATACCTGACTGTGAAGGAAAGAAACTTATATCATAACAAATAAGAAAGATATGCAATCGATAAAAAAAGGTTAGAACATGTGTTGGATCCAAAGATTAAATTCACTATGCATGAATGAAAAATAATAGCTCTGCTTCAATATAAAAAAGAACATTTGTAATTCGGGATGTTTAGATGGAACTCGTTTTTGTTTCTCTATGAAATCAATCCCAAACTAATGATTTTAAGTGTCAACTTTTATTTTTAATCCAGGTTGTGGGAATGTAAAAACTAGTTCTAGGCGTCTAGTCTTACTTTAGAAAATTCGACAATGCTTGTATTGCCACCCGCAAAATAATCATTTTCTAGAGCATCAAAAGCAATTGACTCATCCTCCCAAACAGACACTGTATCATTGTAGACTTTAGGAAAATATTCACCTGAAAGACATTGAGAACTCAATGGTTAAATACAAATACATAGAGTTTAGAACAGAAACTAAAACTGAAGTTCAAAACACAAAGCACTCATTGTGTTAATAATAGAATTGAAAAGGCAACAAATAAAATAAAATCAAATAAAAATGATAAAAGAATTAGCATCATTGAATAATATCCTTCAGATGAATACTATCAAATTGTCCAGTTTGCTTACTACATTAGTCACGAGCTTCAGGAATGGTAAGCATTAAATATGCAGCCAAAAGGATAGGTGTTAAAAATCAATCAAAACATTTGCATGTCACTTGACCATATATAATAAGAATATATTGCCAGATTTGTTTCAAATATCAAGTTTCACGTGTGGCGCACGTACAGACCTTGTTTCTCAACACAAGAAACTCTTTGGGCAAGCTGTTATCTCAGCAACATTCTTAAAAAGTTTTACCACAGACACATACTAGAATGTCTTTAAGATGATTCAATAAAAGGAAGCAATTTTTTACTAGAAACTCATAACCAGTTAAAAGAACACTCCACGTTGCCTTATCCCAATACTGGCGTGGCGTTCAACAATGTGGATCCTACTGTCATTTTGTCAATCACCCAGGCAATTGATCAGACTTCGTAGACTTCATACAAGTGAATTTTGTTGATTTCAGCATATTTGCTTACTCGTAACAACCATCCTGTTTTACAACCTATTGACTGGTAGCATAAATATATACTGTTAGCACTAGATTTTGTCTTTCAGGATACAAATATAAGATATAAAGATAGATAGAGATGAACATTAGTCGAGAGTACAAATGTAGGATAGCAAGGATGCATTTTCCTACTTACAGTAGACCATCAAGTTTTCCAAAAGATTTGAGACACCAAAAATTATGTTCAGTAACTTTGCAATCCTGTTGCAGTTTCCAATATACAATTATATCACAAGCAAATCACATCAACTCGGGTAAGATAGTACTATACAGAAAGCACTAGAAGTTAGTTCAAAAGTGATTCAAATAAATGTAATGAATTTGTGGTTCTGGGGCCATTGTTTGATGCAATGTAATAGCTTGGACTGCCAAGTATCAGAGACCGGGTGCAAATAATTCCAAACTTCAGGTCTTCACCTATTTGACCCTTTCAGCACCTCACACTCACAGTGATATTTACTGGACCAAAACTAACAACAACCTTATAATTCATCCTATATCAGGCATTCATAAGATATTTAGCTGCAAATAAATTAATAAACGAACAAAAACATGTTCATATCATGCACAACAAGCATGAACCAAATTCAGATTCCTATAGCACAGATCCCATGGACACCAGAAGTTACATATATTCAAAGCACGCGTCAGTAGAATCATATATCAGGTGTTTCATTGCCATTCAAACTTACTACTGTACACATTTACCCCAAAGGGACAGGGCAAGAATCGTTTTCCGGCAAATGAAGCACATATCTCGTAAGTGCCAACATCTTTTGCCAGATAAAAGCCAGTGTATAACCCATCTTTGTTTTCAACAAACATCAAAATTGAGAAACCAGATCTGTTAATCGAACCAATCTCTAGTTTTAGCTTTGACTCTTGTAACAAGACAGGGTTAGAAAAGGAATCCATGAGCTGCACTACTATCTCATTTTTAACCAGCTTTGGAACTTTTGGTGCAAATTTTACAACTCCCGAAAGAGATGTATTAACCTCACCTGCAGCAAGTCAATGAAACTATTAGTAAAACTAAGACTCAAGTGCATTAAAGGAACATGTGCATTATATGAGTACATAAGTACATGCAATTAAATAGGTAAAGTTCAGCATATAAAAACAATAATAAATACATAAATAAAAACTGTCCCAGAAACAATTATATTCAAAAGCTTCCATTCTAGAGAAAATTAACAGATCAACAAACTGTTTATTATGTGACCTGATTTGGTTTTGATCGGCCTTCCTATTTGTGCTGAAGTACATTTATTGAACCAAATGATCTATTTTTCCAGATGTTCAAGATTTTACCTTTTAATCCAAATCATAGAAGCAATAACTTCTTAATCACATACAAAGCCTAGGCCTTTCCTTAAGCACCTAATGAATCGAGGAAAAAGAGCAGCACCACTACCATAAATCTCTGACGCATTACCAGATTCATTGATCTAAAATCCAGGTCATCCCACAACCATTGGAAACATTATTTCAAAAAAATGGCCAACATCAATTGATCACGCACATATAAGATGCAACTCCTAACATTTTAGAAAACTCAACATCCGACATTATTGTTCACTGATTAGTTATTCCAAACCCCCAGAATTTTGAATTTTTCTGAAGTTATGAACATTCTAATTTAGTTTGCAAATAAGTAGACCATTGTCACAACTCACTAGCTTAGTGTAAAATGCAGAAATTTTCTTTTCCTTTGCACTTATTTTACTGTACAGTACTCGTCTCTGAGAGAGAGAGAGAGTCTATACGATTCTGTTAAGCAAATACTTTGGCTGTTTTCTGTGTTTTGGTCTGCATAAAAAGAGCATATAAAAAGTACCTGCACTTACTTCCTTTCTGAATGCACGACCACCATTTAATGGAATATTTCCACAAAACACATGAATTTCATATATTCCACTCTTTTCAGGAGTAAATGTGACATCAAAAGCGCTAGCCTGAACTTTCCCATTCCCAGCAGACTGAATTCAAAAACCTCTCTCAGTTTCTGGAATATTATTGCCTGTGGGAAATATGTAAATGAACTTACATTGTAATTTGGGACAAGCGTTGGTGCATAAGCACTTTCCATACCATTGATGGCACCATAGTTCAGTCCACCAGTGGACCAACTACCTGTTTCACAGGTTAATGACTTTGTAGAAGGAAAAACTGAAAAACAAATGGTCAAATGGAAACGAACTAATAATTGCTAATGTTTGTACCATTGACAGGCTGCACTGGATAAATGCTTGGACGTACAACATAATAGGATTCAGATTCCTTCACAATTTTCACTTGAAACCTTTCTAACTCAACTGGAGAAGGATATTGATAAGCATCTTTTAAAAAAACAGAAAATCTTGCAACTTCACCGGCAACAGAATGATTTAAACCAGATCCATTGATGATGCTGTTCATTCCATCGCAATAACCTATTTAAATTCAAACATAAAGTGGAAAATGAATATGGTAAAAATGATGACCCTTATAAAAGTAAAACCAATCAGTTGCAGATGAAAGTTTACTGGCTTCCATAAATAGTGCAGTGATGAAAATTTTAAAATAACTATCAAATTCAAAATCTATTCAAAAAATCATAATTCATGATACCATAACAAGTAAAAATTTAAGTGCATCCGTAATGCTATGAAAAAAACTCAGACCACCAAGCATGTGGAATCTGAGGGCAGTCTGCTCGTGCAAATAATGCCCAGCTATTCCAGCTTTCCTGCACACTCTGCATTGGCAGCTCGGCGCTAGGCGATGCCTTTCTTTTCAGATTTTGAACCTTTTACAATTTAAAACCATATAAACTTCATTTAAAAGTCCTATAGAAAAAGTTATTTTTGTGAATGCACAAAATTACAAGCAAAATTATATTAAAAAAATATATATATATATATACACACAAATTTAAGACAATAAATTAAAAGTGGCTTTTGAATTCAAAAGTTACTAAGAAACTATTTCTGAATAGCTTTTGAATTTGTTAGATATTTGCATAATCAATGCAAGGTCCAATTCCTAGCTCCCATAACGGAATTACAAGTTTAAGCACGTTTTGATTTAGAATTTACTTTTAATTTATCATCTCTTCCCTGACCTTGTGGCAAACAATAAAACCTCATTTATAACCAATTTGAGTTGTACATGATAGGTTATAGTTCTAAATACTAACATGAAAATGCAATCATAATAAAAACTGTTATTTTAAATGGAACATTATATTTGCACAAGGGAAAAAAATCCTGAACCAGATGAAACCTCACTTAACGTAATGTGTTAAATTAAGCAAACAGAAACTCGTTCAAGCGGCAACAACAATAACCAGAAAAATGGCAAATAGAAAAAAAGGAATACATCTCTAATGCAATTTTTATTATAGGCAATAAGAGAATAAGCTAAAGCTGTATCTTAGAATCCTCTGACAGATATGAAGTAAGAAGTGGTAAATTGCAAAACCAAAATAAGTTCTAGATACTGAAAACACACCTATAAAAACTGTAAAAACAGTATTAGAGATGATGTTACTCTGCTCCTTATTGGATATCATGAGCATGAAGTTCCCAGGTTCCACAAGGCTGAAAGAAACCAACTGAATACCTGGTACCACCTCTTTGAATTCCATATCTGCTATGGGTATGGACAAATTTGTCCCCTTTCCAACAACTTCAACATTGAAAGCATACGATCCAGGAACAAGGTTCCCATATTGATCTCGCTGGTGTATAAAAGTTTCCATCTTAGAAAATATCTGAAAGGAATTTGTTTCGACATTCCACTGTGTGACACAATTGGAGACATCCAATGTTCCTGCCAAAAGCCAATTCAAAATTCACATCATTAGGAATAAAGATAAATGCCACCATAATTATAAACAGTACAAAATATTCATAAAATGTTTATTAATCAAAACTAAATTGATTTCATTGATGATCTTGCAAATATTTTTAGATCAGGCAATGCATTGAAAGCTTGGGTTTTTCCTGTTTAAAGTATTCATATCCAGAAAAACACTCAACTTCACTGGTGAAGAAAATAATATATCAGCAGTTAAGTAGAAACACAAAAGTACAGCTGTTTACATTGCTTGGTAAATTTAACGAAAAGAGGAATCGAACTCAAGATATTTAACAAAAAACAATATTACACTGCAGTCAAGCAATCAAAGATAATTTCATGGCTTAGGGCAAAGTAGTGGGGTTGTAACTAAGATTTATGAGAAACAAAAGACTCGTTTTATTAAACTGGTTGTCTTACAATACATGCTATAAAATTATAGCCAAGTACAGCACCTGGATTCACTTTGAATGGCAATGGAGAACCATTCAAGGTTTGGTTGTTCTCTTTTACATGAAGTAAGAGGCTTCCAGCTGTGGCAACAACAAATTCAATGCTGAGAAATCCAAATTCGCTCCATCCCTTGTAGGTGACATTGAGCACCGTTGCAGTGGAACCATTTGCATTAGATGCAGACACTGAAAAATTATAAGATCTTGGCCCTTCACTAGTTGAAGACACATTATTCCCAAATGCATCTTTAGGAAGTATAAGAACCGTAGCGTTTGTCCCAGCTACATACTCATTCGTCAAACCCATCCATGCCACAATGCAAGCAGATGGATACATACGCCCTTCAATAACATAGTGGCATTTGAAATTAACAAAAATATTATGAATGCACTACTGATCAGATTAACATATATCATTTAAAAGGGCTAGCCCAGTGCATGAGGCTCCAGTCATTGCAGGGTCTAGGGAGGGTCAGATATACACCCTGCATGAAGAGGCTGTCTCCGGTTTCGACCCGGGTCACCAGCAACCTTACCATTGCACCAACCCTCATATAAATATATATCATTTACTAACCAAAATTAGCCAACAAAACAAAATTTTCATTGCACAATGGAGCAGTCAAAAAAAAAAAGTATGGCACTATTAATTTTGTACTAAGAAAAAAAAAAAAAAAATAGATTATAAACCTGGAGTGACTCGGAAATGCATTGACGAATCGAAAACATTGAAATGGTCATCAGTGATAAGCACATTGAACAACCCAACCATGATTGGAGTGAAGGTAATTCTCCAATTACTAAGATCAGCACCAAAATTTGAGGAAAGACCCGATATAAGAGAATTATTTCCCATCTTGTCATTCACAGTGATGTTAGGACTAAAAGCATATTTGTAATTACTGCTATTGAAATTTCCCAATACTCTAACCTTTATGGATGCTATATCGCCCGCCAAGAATGTGTCTTTATCATCCAACCAACTGAATATAATATTAGGGATTGGAACATTATCTGTGCAACAAATTGAACCAAAACGATTAGGTCAATAAAAAGTAGAATCACATACTGAACACACATATAAACTGTGTGTATGTGTGTGTGTACCTGATTGGACGAGTTTAGGAGCAAAGGGTGTGAAGAGAGAGGAGGCCAATAGTGGAATAAGTGTGTGGAAGAGCATTTGAAGCGACATGGTTGAGAAATTACATACAGAGAGGTTTGAGGGTCTGGATTTCTGATAGATGTGAGGGACATAATTTTGTTGGTGTGTTTGAGGCGGGACGGTTTGAATTGAATTCCTAAAGCGGTTGCTGCTTCGTGTTTGGAGAGAGATTATGAAACTGTTTCTTTAACTGATCATCTCTTTTTACATAACCTACCCTTCTCTCTCTCTCTCTCTCTCTCTCTACACACACAAGCTACGAGTATTAGCTATGCCATGGGACGGGCCCATAAAATTAGCCCAACTGGCCCTCATCCTTCAAAAAGTAAGCCCAAATGGACTGTAACAGGGACATCAACATCAACTCGAGTAATTTGATATTGGGAAATTTTTTTAATAATAATAATAATAATAATAATAATAAAAAGTCTGAATAATACTTCTAAGGAGTGAGAAAATCTTTCGCCGTACTATGTAATCAATCAATTATACTTTATCTCATGATGAATAATATCATGCCATTTGTACTCCAGACGATTAAAAATTTTCTTGTCCAAAGAAATCTTTTAATCCCAAATAAAAGATTAAAATGACTCAAAATCATCGATACAATGCAAAACATGAGTGTGTCCCATGAGTCCCACGGCAGAGGACGGTGATGGTTTTGGCTCTTCACCGGACTACTCACAAAGAGTGTGTGAATTGTGTGAAGCATATGCATATTTATGTGTATGGTCGGAGAGTTGACTGTCATCTATAACATCTTTTTCTTCTATAAATGGTCTGCACGGTTTCACTCAAATTTTTGAATGAAATCAAGTGTTAAAAGACTTTTATCTTTTAAAAAACTAGAAGTACTAACATCTTCTTTCATATTCAAATCAGCATAAAGGTGCTTGGATCCTTTTGTAGTGGGAAAATTGAGATTAATTTCTAATTGAATATTTAAAGAAGAATTATTTACAAGCTCAACGTTTTGGTTGAAGTGTGGGGCTTATGTAACATTGTCTTTTTAAGATTAATTTGGGTATTGGGGTTTTTTCCCAATTAATTCCTAAGGACATGTGAAGGACACCTACTCATCATGGATTCGGTAATTCATGAAGTATGGACTGCAAAAGCATGACTCTAAGAAAATTATTTACACTCGTGAGAGTCAAGCTTGATACTTCATGAGACACCATAAAAAAGTTATCTCATCAATAATACACTTACTATATTTTAGAGATTTAGAATAAAAATGAATTTATAGACAAAGACTTGTATTTATTTCCTTTGGTACACATAGCAAACCCAATAGAGTGATATATATGGTTGGATGACGAAATATGTTCAATTTTTTTTTTGGCTTTATGCGTAAATCGATCTTTATTCCAAATAATATTTACATTTTTAAATATTTTAAAGATAAAGATACACATACTTTATTTGTTTTGACGTAAAATATTCTTTTTGAAAAATATTTTTTTTTTCGAAGTAAAATATTCTTTTATTTTTGCTTTGTTGGTGTTTGGTGAAGGTTTACGTCGAGATTGAGGTCGAGTCCATCGGACGGGACATGTAAAATAACTTACCAAAAATTGACGGATAAGCTATTTTTCTTAAATTTTAATAATTTTTTTATTCGTAAATATTTTACGACAATCAAACACTAAAAAAAAAAAAAAAAAATCAAATTTTTTACGTCCAAACAAACGAAACCGTAATGTATAACAAGTTATACAATACTGCGTTTAGTAATGAGAAACGTTTCTTATTTTTTATTGTCAATCTCTAAAAAGGCGAAATGAAAACAAAAATCACGTTTAATAAAATGTTTTTGTTTTTCTATAACAGAAAACGTTTTCAATTTTTGTGAAGAAAAGAGAAAATATCAAAATGATATTTCTTATATTTTCGATATTGTAACAGAAAAACGTTTTCATTAATGTTAGTGCACAGGCACTATTCATTTCAAATAAAATTCATACTATTTGTGTTATATACCATGTTGCATATTAAATGTTAATAAAAATATATATTTTTAATAAAGAGTTGAGGATGCAGCAAGTGGCATGGGCCGGATACAGTTCGCTGGAACGGGATCGAGTCGAACAATTGAAGTAGGATCCATGCCAAAGCACCCCGGAATGGGCCGAACCTGGGGAATCCACCGAGGAAAATCAAGCCCATTGGAAGATCAAACCCAGAAGGAAGAAAACTTTTGAATATAGGCCCAATGTAATCTGTTAACAACAATAATGGTAATGGCCTACAAATAGACCATTACAGGTGGAAAATAGGGGAAATTTTCTGGATTCTATTGAAGGGTAAGAATTCTAAAGAGAGAAAGAAGAAACGAATTCTTGCATCTTCAATTGGCGCCGTTTGTGGGAATCGAGGACGAAGATCAATTCGAGCCCGATCAATACCATATTAGTTCAATCGAGTTTGTGAGTACACAGTGTGATTTCTGGAAGTTGAATCCAGATCAGTGAGATTGTAGTTTGTTCAGAGAGAATTCTTGCTTATTGTGGATTTTGAGGCATTTGCTTCGGAACGACGCAATTGTGATTTGCTCAATTGCAGTCAGATCCGGTGAGTTCAAAGCTAGAAAAGTTCAGATCTAGCAAACAGTGATCACGATTCGGTGAAGTTAAGCCCAGATCTAATGGAGTTTGCATCGGTGACGCTTAGATCTGTTTCGGAGTTCGTAAGTCATGCCTTTGCTTCGATCCGGAATCATGATAGGGGGTGACAACTCCAATACGGTTGAGAACGTCCAGCAAGTGAAACTTGATGAGTTGATGAACATGATCGAAGCTCTCCGGAGAGAAAATGCGGATCTAAGGACTGAAATACAGCGTCAAGAAGCTCCAGTAATTCCATGACCACTCCCGGTAGGAGAAGAAGGTCATGTACCGATGCAGCACATCACGGTGAGGAGGTTGGAAACAATCTAGTAGATCCTCACCGCAAGGAAATCCGGCGAGACGGTTTGCCGCCAAATCTTCGTCGTATTGATGATCGAGAAGGATCAACTCACATAGATCCACGGCGTGAGCAGAACAGGCGAAACGAAGCAATGACTTTTGATCCACATCAAGAAACGCTCAGCCAAGGTGAAGCAACAGAGTTGAATCGTCACAAAACTATGCCTCCATGGCGCAAAGACTTTGTTGAGGACAGGTCATTCGATCCGACCTATCGGCCTTCCATAACGACGTTTGACTATCACAGCTCAGAGAGGAGATCAGTTGACCAGAGAGCAGCCGCGGGGTTCCAGAGAGAAAATGAAGCACTCCGTTCAGCAGCTCGAACGGTTGATTCACCGTTCACCGATGAGATTCTGAATGCTCCGAGTCCGAGGAAATTTTTCATGCCCGTTTTCATTCTGTTCGACGGAACGACTGATCCGATCGATCACGTGTATCACATCCAGTTGAAAATGGCTCTAAACACTGAGAATGACTCTTTGATGTGCAAGTGCTTTCCTACGAGTCTGGCCGAACCAGCTCTGAATTGGTTCAAGAACCTGCCGAGGGGTTCGGTGGATAGTTTCCGAAGCTTGTGTGATCGGTTCATAAGCCAATACTATGAAAACAAGCGTCCAGCGAAAGATATTTCGAGCCTATTCACAATGAAGCAACATGCTGATGAACGTCTCCAGGCTTTCCTAACCAGGTTTAACCTTACCAAGAGCATGGTTATTGAATGTCACCCTTCAACGGCAGTTCAAGCATTCATACTGGCCATGAACCGTGGCAGCCCATTCCACACAAGCTTGGTGGTGAACACGCCGAAGATTATGGATGAACTTAACGAAAGAGCCGATGGATTTGTTCGCTTGGAAGAAGAAGAGGCGGCAAACGCTCGGAAGACATCCGTCATATCCACGGAAGAAAATACCAAAGCAAAGATCAGGCAAAAACAGGTTCAGCCGCAACGCTCCTCGTGGAAATCAGAGAAGAGGCCTAGAGAGGAAGAGCTGGTAACTCCATTGAAAGTTACCCTAGCGAGACTGTACCAAGAAAATAAAGATAAGTTCCGACCTCCTTTACCAATCAGACAACCTCTCGAACAGAGGGATCAGTCTAAGCACTGTGCATTTCATTCTAATTTTGGCCACCAGACTAACGAATCCAGGAACCTAAGGAGACAGGTAGAGATGCTGATAGCCAGAGGGGAGTTCGCAAGTTATATTCAAGGACCAGCGGTGGAGCAAAACCGACCAATGGAGCACGTGAAGAAGAATCAGAAGTCGAATTCTCACAACACGCAACCAGTTCGAGTAATCAATGCAATTCACGGTCGGCCAGAACCTGCCGAGGAGTCAGATGAACTGCTTCGAACACGCCTTCGCCAGGCACGGATGAAGAGAATGATAGGCAGTGTAAACACTCTGTACCAACAGAGCGCATCAACGCAGATAAAGTTTGACGTAACAGACTTGTTGCGTGTTCAGATCCCTCATGAGGACCCGCTGGTCGTAAGTTTGACAGTGGCCAAATGCTTGGTGCGCAGAGTTCTAATTGACCCTAGAAGTAGTGCGAACATCATGCTAAGAGATACATTCGATCGGCTCGAGATCAAACAGGATCGGCTGAAATCCACCGGGAATCCACTACTAGGGTTTGATGGAAAGCGAGTGGAGCCCGTCGGCACGGTGGAGGTAGCGGTACATGCTGCCGAAAGGGTTTTGATGGAAACCTTTGTGGTTGTTGAAATTCATCCCTCTTACAATCTTCTGATGGGCAGAGGGTGGATCCACAGAGTTCAAGGTGTTCCTTCCACTCTGCATCAGGTAATGAGATGCCTAAGGCCAGACGGAACCAAAATAATTGACATTCATGGAGACCAGGTTACAGCTAAAGAATGTTATTCTGTAACACTGAAACATGCCGGAAAGGGGAAAGCTCCCATTCGTTCAGCAAGTCCGAAATAGCAATTAAAGGAGCCTCCCTCCAAGCAGAGTGGGGAGGAGGAGTCAGTAGGCTTGACTGAAAAACCCCTGTTTGATGTGCAGATCGATCAGTTCCGACTGAAACGGACAACCAGAGTGGGGAAACGACTCGTTGAGGAGGAAAAACAGGAATTAGTTGATTTTTTGTCTCAAAATGCAGATGTGTTTACATGGAGTCACCTAGACATGCCAGGGATCGATCCTTCTGTATCTTGTCACTCCTTGAACGTTAACCCCAATGCAAAACCGGTAAAGCAGAAGCAGCGACGGTTTGCCCCCGAGCG